TTTCGATAGACGAAAAAATATACTTTTTGTTTGTTTTTTGAATAGCGAAAGATGGTACACAGAGAAGTGTGGTTTTGTGTAGAAATATTGCGAAATAGGGCGTTGTTGGAGTACATTGTGACACATAAATAATTTAATACAAGCAACTAGTATTAAAGAAACATTTTTAGGAACAATAAGCTTAACTTGGTGATAAAATAAATTTAATTTTAAGATAAACACATTTTTAACAGAAATCAAAATTTTCTACAATAACTCAGCAGAACTCAATTTTAGTCCTCTTTAAACTCACCCAAAATATTATAACTTTAAGAAAAATTAAAACTTCGGCCACATTGAAGCTACAAGTATAATACCCTTTAAAGGTATAAAGAGTATATAAAAATCCGTATCTTAATTTTGTTTGGTCGATTGGTATGGCAGCTATATGCTATAGTGGTCCAATCTGAACAATTTGTTTGGAGTATGTAATCTTCACTTGCACAATAATATGTGTCAATTCTCATAAATATATCTTGTCACATAGAAAAGTTTTCTATACAAAATCTTGATTTTGACCGATCAGTTTGTAAGACAGCTATATGCTATAGTGGTCCGATCTTCTTTTTTATAGATTATAGTCCTGCTCTGAAAAATAATATGTGTTAATTTTCTTGTCAAAAAAAAAAGTTTTATTTACAAAAACTTGATTTTGATCGGTCCGTTTATATGTCAATTCCGACAAATGGGCAGCCTATTGGAGAGAAAAGAAAATTCAATTCTTTAGGAGCGCTGTAAAACTAAAAGATCAGTCAATCAATTATACTCGTAGTACTATCGAAACTAATTTGGATGCGACAGGGCGTATGAGTAACTTTTTTGCCACTTTTCGGCTGAAATTGATGAACTGGCTGTAGGTTATAAAATTTTAGTATACTAAGCTATTCTAATAACGAAATTCTTGTGTAAAAAAATATTGCAGACAACACTAAGAAAAATTAACGCAGAATTACAAATTATAAGGTGGGAAGAATATTGCGCAGATAAAAAGTAAAACGGATGGTTTAATTTTTAGTAGTTTCATAAGTTACATACTTATCACAGTGAAGCGGTCTCTTACATGTATGAACTTATTTGGTAATAAAATCGTAAATAAGGTATAACCAAATGCGGTTGTAAGCAAAGATTATATTACTTCGATTTTATTCAAGTTCGGTTTGAATATTTTATATTATACTATACCGTTTATAGTTACTACTACTAAATTCAATTGCTCAAGCTATAATGCTTAATAATCTTTGAGGTGTAACTTTTAACACGAGTCAACTTCATATCCCTTCATAAGTATAAAGAGTAACTTAGCTAGATTGCACCGTTCAGTTCCTACTTCAATTCCCAGCAATAATAAGGAGTGTATAAAGCCGCTTATACTTCAGAGTACCGCACTTAAGCTATCAACAGTACACGAAATTAGTATTCCTCTCACAATAGTGAGCAGCACTAGTCATATTGCTCTTTGGCCTAAGTGTTGCAAATTATTTCTTCGTTAAATTCATTTAACTTCTAGGTGCAAATTTTTATGAAATTACAAATTGTAGTTAAGTATAACTAAGCCCAGTAATATAGTCAGCTTAACGGGTTACGAAAAGGTCTTGCCGCAAAATGCGCCATCAAAGCAGCACAAAGCAACCGCAAAAGCAGCCAACTCAATGCGCATAATAATATGTATAAAGCCTTCGCAAAACACAAAATAGCCGTCTACTTTATGGCCTTAATAATGGCTGAGGATGGCAACAACAAGCAGGAGATGTAGAAGGTGCCGTACAGAAAGGCACATACACATATAAGTATATACTTATATACTTATATACTATAACTACAATGACAGATATAACTATAAGAAATCTTTATGTGGGCGGTGCTGAGGCGAAAAGTAATGAAAAAGTGTAGAGCAGAGGTGTCAGACGAAAATGGTGAAGTAAATGCTAGCATTCCTTGGTGAAACCTATGCGTATGTATGGCAACTATATATAAATGGTTTAACAAGCTTGTCTGAGAATAGTGAGCACAACATAGAAGAAAATATTAGCAGGACTGAGTCGTTAAGCAAACACTCGACATACAGCAGCAGCTTTGGCCGCTAATCTGTTAGCTTATTCGATTACTGCTGCTTCTGTCTAAGCTTTTGTGGCTCCTTTAAATTAAACGCTTTGGTAGGAATACTCTTAGGCGCTATATATTCAGTGTTACTTAATTTTTCCTATTTGTACATGGAATATACATATAACACTGTGCTTTTGCTGCTGTAATTCTGTGATTGTACAATTCCTCGCCTTAATCCGTTAACTTGAGTTGTAGTGTTGTAGACGTTGCTAGTAAGTGGAGTGTTGGCAACTCCTGTCTGCAAAGTCTTGTTTTATTTGTATGTGTATAAAAGTTTACTTCGTTCAGTCGCTAATAAGTACCGTTAAATTACATATGTTGCTTCAATATGCTTATGTGTTGGTGAGAAAACGGCAATGCTTAAGTCTACCGCAGCAAATTAAATTCAGCTAAAGTTATAGTATATGCCATATTCTATAGTTTAATCGAAGACAATTGAGGGCTTATAAATTATATTAATTTTTCGTTAATTTACTGACTATTAGAGCCACCGTAAAACTCTCAAAAATTTTTCATAGTGGGTGACATTTGTGGACAGCATAATATCGCTCCAAAAGCATAAAGTTCTCTAAGAACAATGCATTTGTATTGCTTTGCAATAATATGCATTTTAGATAGCTCTTTAGGTTAGTCCATTAGTTAATTGTATACTCATATGCTAATCATATATAAATACTCACTAACTAACTCAATAAGGGGACGATGGTGATCGAACAAACAACTGGTCTAAATAAAATGGGCTGATTTAATAAAATAGAAAACTATTATACCATTTTGAAGACGTATCCACATACTTTTTCGCACAGCATTCAACTGGGTAATGTTGTTGCTGTTTTGCATCGAGATATATTTCGTATAGTTTTTTCTTAGATTGATAGAAAGTCCTTGGACAATCGAATGTGGCTTACTTTCGCAGCGAAAATGTTGACTTGAATATTTTTATGTGAGGAAAAGTATTCAACAGAATTTCTCTGATGGTGTTGGGGAAAAAAGAAACTTTTTTTAAACCGAAAAATATGGAAATGTAATTTTGTTTAGTAGTTCGGGTCAGGCGCGATGAAATGGTATGGTCACATAGTTGAATAAGTCATCTTGTATCTATCATATAGCGCAATAATTATCGCTTAGAAGTAATAAAAATAGACATATGTATTTTTTCAGTCTTTAACAATACAATTATTTTATTTATTTATTTTCATTTTCTTAACATTATATATGTAAATGTATATGTATTTATAATACAATAAAGTTAGTTAAATGGTGTACAGAACAATAAAAATTGTATTTTGTTTTTATTATAGAAAAAATGAAATATTTAAAGAATTGTAACGAATTTAGATGGAAATAAATGAAATCAATTTTAAATATACTTTATTGCAAAATATGACAAGCAAATACTAATATTTTCTTTAATTTTGAAGCACTTTTCAAAAAGCAATTTTTGACCTAAATGTTGAATAGACTTTTCGTTATTCAATTCTTTTATTTATACTGCAAATAAAAAAAGGTTTTTTTTCAAATTAAAAAATTATTTTTTGCCAAATTATTTAAACATAAATTTTTTCAAAACATTTATTTTTCGAATATTAAATTTTTTTTATGCAAAATTTGAAGTTTCATATCGAAAACAGCGTAATTTCAGTTAAAATTCATAAATATATATTTTTAAATAAATGACAAATTAAATTAATTTATAAAATTTAATTATGTGCCTATTGTTCAAAAAAGTGTAAATTAAAATTTTTAAAGTAAGTAGTAGACAATTTTTTACAAATATTTTGAGCGAGGAAAACTTAAAATTATGACTATAACGTCATTGCTGCAAAAATCAAGTGAATTTTTCTTTTTATACCACAAATTATTTTTTACATGCTAATTTTATTTTTATAATTTTACTTTTTATTAATTCAAAACTTTTTTATTTTGTTGCGCTTAAACTTTAACATGCATGCTTACTTCTTAAAGAGAAAAATATTTTAAACTAATTCTCATAAATATTTTTGTTAATATTTTGTCCCAGCTTAATTCTAGTGTAACAAAACATTTGCTCTTAATTATATTTTTAAATATTTAGCACATGGAGGACGTTTTTCTTATGGTTCTTTGTTGTAGTAGAGAGTCAGTTGTAGATTTTGTTTTTGTATTTTGAAATTTTTTTATTTCATGTTTACGAGTTTTTAAGCTTAATTTTTAAGAGCAGGCAGTTCGGAAAATTTTTAATATTACTAAAAATTTCTAAAAACAATTAAATCTGAACATTCAAATGAACATACATTTTTTGAAAAATTATACATACATAAGAAATGACTACCCCAATAAAAGCTCGACACATTTTGGCTTGAAATTTTTAACGTTGCATGTTTAGAACACCACCAAGCAGAGTGAAAAATTTTAGTCTAGCTATTTTACATTTTATTATGTAGTGATACAAGCAATACTACAGCTACTTCGGTATATAACTCGAATATAAATCGGTAAAATATACAATCGCTTTGTCATTCCAAAAAATATATTCAATATATCTCTACATAATGATCTCGGAATAGACGAACGTGCTTCGGAACCTGCGTTTTTCAATACACCAAAGTTCTATTCTACACTTCAACCAGCAAATGCAAATCTAACTAGTTTGGTAGAAATTTCAAAAAAAAAAAAACAAATATTATAGGAAAACCTGTGTAAGGTTGCTTAAAGTCATTACGTACGCTCTATCTGCCTATATTTCTAGATCACGGTAGCAAAAATGCTTTACATTTTCGTAAAAAAGCGTATACACGTAAACAAAACTGAGCTTGCTTCCGGGTAACATATTATTGCAAGAAATTAATAAAATTTATGAACTTGTGAAACATAGTACATAAAGTTCTTTCTCTAAGAAATTATAAAAATATTTATTCTTTTGATAGTTATCTTGGTGTTATCTGAAAAATGGAGAAATCTAAAATTTTGGTGTTCCTGCAAAGAGCCTACTGATTTTTATGAACTTGTGAAACACAGTATGGAAAGTTATTTTAACAAGTCATAATAATACTAATATTTTTGATGGTTATTATGGTGTTATCTGACAAATGAAGTGCTCCAAAGTCCCTTTAAAAGGCCTATGCATTTTCAAGAAACGTTTTCCTATGCCGAAAATTCTAAGAGGCGAAATTCCATTAATGGTTTCGATAGCAATACATATAGTTTCAAATAAGTATAATAAAAAATAATTCTCTTACCTAAAATATATTCTTGACTGTTTTCAAATTTTCATATCTTTTGATCTCCTCTACTGCCTTCTCTTTCTATATGTGAAACAATAAATTAATCGTTTACTTCTTTACAACTATTTTTAGGGCACAAGTAAAGCTTTTACAACTACAAACTAAATATCTCCGTTAAGTTTTTACAGTGTTAATTAAAATTAAATTATATAATAATAATAATACGTACAGTTGAAGCACTTAAACACACACATTTTACTTAAAAATTAATTTTGATTATTTTTTCTTCTTTTTTTATAAAACTTGGGAATCGCTGAGCTGTTTAACACACTATACTTTTTTAACATTTGCACTCGAAAGTTTCAGAAAAAATGGCTCAAACACTCAATTATATAATACACTTAAATAATTATTAAAAATAGCACACACTTATATAAATAACACTCACAACAAATTTTTCGAATACACGCACACACAGGCATAAGCAGCAATATCAATAATCTCTTTTTTTAAGTTAGTTTAATTTTCACATAACCCAACATTGTTTATTAAAAATTTTGAGTGTAAAAAAGTTACTGAGCAATTGGTATGAACAACAAGACTATAAATATCTGAAAGACTTGAGACTAATATGATTTCTAACTTTTTTTCTGAAATATTTTACAAAATATACATTTAAAAAAAAAACTCAAAAAAAGTCATAGTACGCTCACTCACACAACGATTATAAAGAGAAGCACAACAACACACACGCTTTATTACACACCTTAATAATAATATTGACCATTCTAAAGCTTAAACTAAACTAAACATAAGCCTGAGCACGCGTACGTGGATCCTTCCCCTGCAGCCGCTCGACGAAATTACGCCAACTCACCATCGTTTTACCCGAATACAACCACACGCTCGACGTAACGCCCACCAACATTGAACACAAATATTTGGCCATGTAAATCTGAAAGATGGGTCGCGATTCCAAACCATCCTGACGCAACTGCGGACATGGTATGGAGAATGGTTTGCAAATATCGCGATGCCATTGTATCATCCATTCATCGAAATTATAGTACTCATAGAAAAGACAACCGAGAAAACCGAGCGCCGGCAATATGAAAAGACCGGAGAAGAAGCCGATACGCATCATGAGACGCTCTAATTTATCCGTACGTTTGCCATCTGTCTTCATAACGGTACGTATGCGAAAGAGCGATACAAAGCCGGCGAGTAGAAATAGGGCGCCAATGGAGAGATAAATACAGAGCGGTAGTATGAGGAAGACGCCGAGTGAGTGTGTATCCAGTTGACCGACGAAGCAAACGCCGGAGAGTATGTCGCCTGCAAAGAGTGAGAAGTGAAAGTTAAATAATGAAACAATGTGAAAAATAAAAAGAAATGAATTAGAGATCAGGTATGATATTAAATTTTTAATGTTAGTGTAATAAAAGAGATCTACAACAATACATTATTTCATATTTTCGGTTTCGATTGAAGTCGAATCTCTAGTCGTATTCAATTTGAGGTAGCTGAGTAACAGCAAATATGGTATTATGGTCATCAAGGTGATCGCGTGTTGCAGCTACTAAAAATCACTTTCTGCTTCAGCTGCTTGAAACCCCAAAACAATATCTAGGAATGGGGTTACTTAACCTGAACTTAAACTTTAAAAAGAAAAACCTCGAAAAAATAGAAAAGTTTATGAATTTCGATCCACACTTATATATAGAAAGGTATGTGCTCGAATACCATATAATCAAGTTTCTAGAACTTTGACAAAGCTTTTTTCCAGTTTTAGTCTATAGATGTCTATAAGGTGTCAAAATTATATAATCAATTTCTTCCAATAGAAAACTATAGATTTCTCGGGTAATATTTATTTTTGAATCGCTTTACCACTAACTTTAGATTTAGCAGACCATTCGTCCAAATATGGTCGAATATGGTCACCTAACTTTAGACTAAAGTAGTGAAAGAAAGATCTCATTTGCGGTGGTACCTTTCTTACTGAGCTTTCCTTTCGCTCAATTATCTCCGCTGATTACACGATTCCTACGCCGCAAGCTTCAGATCTAGATCTTAACTATAGAAGGGATATACAGCCTTGTGAATATTTTTGAACGGAGTATTGTGGGTCTATTACTAATACTAGCGTTCTAGGTTGACTGCAGCCCGATACATTTTCTTACAGGGTTTCCTAATGAAATATTCTATTCGGGGCTTTGATATAGCTGGTATTTATTTACTATATATCAATAAAATATACATATATACTTCTAATGTCCCTGCATTTCTCGAATGACAATACGAAATTAAATGCAACAAAAAACAAAAAGAAAATAAAGTTCAACAAAACAACAACATAGAGCTACCCCAAAGAGGCAAAAACAACTATTGACATTGTATGGAATCATTGACGCCGCCAAGTTGGAAGCACAGCGAAGAGCGGTCGCGGAAACCCGTTGATCAATGCGTGAATTTACTATATTTGTGTATTTAAGATGCCGCATTTGATGCAAGCGATTTGTTGGCGACAGAAAAAAGTTTGATTGTATCTATGGATTTTGTTTTTGTATGTTTCGTATTATTGTTTGCTTAAGAGTTGACAGCGTAGTATTTGCTGGCGACAGCAGCAGTTGTTGATAGGCCAACCGATTGAGTGACAATCGAGCGTTGAATGAATGCACATTGAAGTGATTTGATGGTTTGACTTGGTGCACGCAACTGACAGTTTAAAGCGGCGATATTATGGCTATATACGACAAAAATGGTGTGACATTCACCAGTGATACAATGAGATGACATTTTATAAAAATGCAAACGCTGGAGACTGCAGATAATATTATCGATGAACTAGCGGCATAGAAACGGAAAAATGTTTCGAATGGAAATATCTGCGGTTTCCTGTAGTTCTTTTCGGTTTTGACCATAGAATCTAACGTATCTATCTAGCATATATTTTGGCCTATATTGTATATTATTGGATATTATATTAGATTGGTAGGGTAGTAGTTACTTAGAGAATTTTTTCAGGTTAGATATTTAAAGACATTTCCGGTCGGAAGACATAATTTGGACAATTGTAAGCAAGTATTTTGAGATGCCAAAAAACACCTTAAGCCTCGATGGCTGCCGATGAAATGACTGGATCCTAACAAAAAAGTATATCTGCTAAACTTTTTGCTTTCATTTGAGTTAACTTTAATTCTTGAAAGTTTGATAGACTATGTGTTGCAACCTTAGTTTCCTGTAAACGGGTTAGTTGAAGATGGAAGTTAGAGGGGACTTCGAACTTCAACTTCGACATTCGACATTATTTGACAAGATATCTTCACGAATATCTCCGCTCACGCTCGATCTCCGAACATATTGTTCAGATCGGAAGACTATAGCATATATATTATGTACTTATCTATGTGAAATCAACTAGATGCCAGCAAACAAATGTTATCTAACATTTATAAAATAAAGCGACTTTAATTGTAAATATTTATTATTACTAGTTTATAAATTTGTTGAAAATTTTAATTTTATTAAAAAATTTTCAAAATAAATTTAAATTTTTAGAATGTGCAAAATTTTTTAAATAACAAAATATTAATGATAATAAAAGATAAATAAGTGGATACTACCTTGGTAGCCGATTTTGAATAAAATTAAGCTATTAAATATTATGCTGTTTACACTGCGCTTAAGCAACACCAAAGACTGCAACAACAAGCTTGTATGTTGATAGCAACAAGAACAGTCGAGCACAAACGCCGCCGGTACTGCTATTTACCCAATGTGTTAAAGCAAATATTTACTTTCACTCGAAATGGAGCACTTACATAGCATAGCATAGCATAAGCCTAACAGCACATACCATAGAAGTCACAGGCAATGAGTTACAATCACATGAAGCTTTGTTTGCGCTATGAAATATTACTTTTCTGCTTATTGTTGCCATTGTAGAATTTCATATATTTGTATTTACCAACTAACAGAGACACAAATATATATCATACAGTATTCATTATATGCATTATTTGCTTAATATAAAGTAATATTTATTTAGTTGATATATCTCTGCTTACACAGTAAATTTCAAACTATAAATTTACACACGAGTCACTCTCACTCTTTCTGGGTTGCATATGAATGCTACGAGTATACGCTTACTTGTGGCGCAAATAAATATTTACCTAACTGTCAACGTTATCAGTGAAGCACTCGATATCCAACACTTCAAATGTGACAATTCAACTGTCAAGCAAATAAATATGTGCGCATGCCTAATGACATAAGCCAATCGGAATATATATGTATGCGTATATGAGCGTATGTATGTATGCCGGCATATAATCTACGTTAACATCTTGTCACACTACGAACAACAACAAGCATGACAAGTCACACTTCAAAAGGAGTTGTCACTACTGCGCCACATTTAACGCTTGTCAATTTTGACACGCACTTAACGAGGTCCACTCCACACGGCTGACGCATCAAATGCAATTGTTGGCTATTTTAAGGCCTACAAGTGCTTGATCTCGTCTTAAACTGTGAAAGCCAATTATAGGTGAAGGCTTAAGGCTACGAACGCTTGTTGGAAAAATCGCATACACATTTTAACTATTTTAAATATTATGTAAGTATATCACAATGGATTCTATCGCTAAATACTTTGAATCTGCACTAAAATAGAATCGTCTCTAACTCTAAGGTATGAATTCGGTTTAGTCTGCGAAGTTGTACTTTTAAAATAAAATGGAAAATTACTAAAATATTATTTACGTTTATGACTTGTTATTTGCTACAAGTACTTTTCAGCCGCTCAAATATATACCGCAGTGAATTAGATTTATTATGAGAATATTAGCTTGTAACTTCATGATCAAAATTATTTTCTAACCGCTTGTAAACTTTCATTGCAACATTTCGCTTACAATAACTTAGTTATCGTTACATATATAGCATATAGCCCAGTTATTTAAAAGCTTTTCAAAGATTGACCCAAAAAAGCTCACCCATCATTCTCTTCAATCTAAAAAATCAGCAATTTTTACTGCTTCACTTTTCACCTTAAGTCTGATTTGGCAGCTTCTTCTGAAACATCTTTCTCTCATTAGCTACTTTCTCTAAAGCTAATTGCTTTATCAGTTGCTTTCTTTGTCTGCTAAATTTGCCACTTCTCTGGTGTAAATACCGGTATGTTGACATATTAATTACCAAAAAATGCTCGGGCTGTTAGTGTCGCTTTAGAATGTTTAGGTAAGCAGTCAGTGAGTTGAAACAACGACAAGTGAGATTTCTTTTAAGGTCAATGGTCACTCAGGCGCACAACTGTTTAGCGTCTTCAAAGTCAGCAGCACCGACAATTAAGCAGATTAATCACCAGTCAAAAACAAGTAGTTTGTTGTAAGCTTTTTTTTAGGATTTCTATAAGTAGTTATGTTACAAAAGAAATATATTACTGAAAAAAATTGTGCCTATTACTACTATATACATAATTATAAACCAACCATTCATACCAATCAAGTTTCCTCCTTTAATAGTTTTCGCACTCTACTTGAATATCAAATCTTCATTGTTTTCTTTGCATTTTGTAATAATCCTCGTAATGCCTGCTTGTTCGCTGTATCTTTTTACGATCGCGTAAAATAATGTCGGAAAGCGTTACTATAAGCTGAAATGTATTCTTTGAAATACTTAAAAGGCGAAATAAAATTTTACAATAGTTACTAACAGCCAGCCGTGCTGTAATGTGACAGTGATGGCAAAAAGTGTGTTGCAAAAATTGTGGATATTAAAAACGACTTGTTGTACTCTTTAAGACAAGCAAATAAAGTGTCTTCAACGACTGCTTTATGCCACAAACTCAATATGAGTACAAAAAGATTACGAAACTGAGAGTTTTATGCGAGCTTTTTTATGGCATTTTCACATAATTTTTATTGCTGATAATTGCTGCACTACAAGCGCCTTTTTGGGTAGCCATTTACCGGGTTTATGACCAAGGCACTAAAGTTGTACTTGTTATATATTTTATTATATTTTAATTTTTCGCTGATTTTTTATGAAATGAGAAACGTGCATTTTTAATTCGTTTGCAGAAATCCATGTGAAATTAAAAGGAGTAATAAATGCGCGCCACAGTTTCACAGCCGCTGGAGTGTGACTTGGCGAAGAGACACGAAATCTCTGGGGAGACCGACAGCGAACTAATGACTGCTTACAAAACCAGCAGAAAACTAAAAATACGCCGCTAGAAGAGCGCGTAAATATAAAAAGGTAACAAAAAAAAAAAACGTTAACTTTGGCTGCACCGAAATCAGAATACCCTACAAAAATAAAGCACT